CAGAGTTCGACATCATGACCTCTGACCTGGAGATTTTTCTCTGTAAAAGTATGTGTCTGGGCGGGCACAAAATTCAGAATTAAAGAAATCAATTAATAAATTATTAAATGTTGCATGAATTTGCATAAAAGGTGAAGAGATTTACTGATTTCTCAAGAGTGGGATTTCATCACACCAAAGTTTTACAACAAAACGTAATTTCATGTAATGATCTGTTTATTTGCTGGTATGTTGAAAACTACTTTAAACTAAAATATATTAAACATTTAAAAAATATTTATATTTTATAAATCAAAAGTACATTTTAATTTATCTTTACACACCCACAAATTTTCAACCTTCGAATTGGGGTTCTATATATGAAGCATAGGGTTCTTTACTCAATTCCAAAGAACCTTTTATGCTAAAAAAAGGTTCTATAATGATAAGAAAGAACCCTTTTGGAAAAAATGTTCTTTATAGGCTATTATTCATTCATATATTATTCTGCAACATTTTGTAATTCAATTATTGTCTATTAAATTGTTGTAGTAAATTAATATAACATTTTAATCATGCTGATTTTTGGAGGAGAAAAACTGAAATGGCACTCTTCGTGTGTGATATTGATTAACTATATAAAATGATATAAATATATACATTTTCTAACCCCCATATCTTGAATTTTGTGATCATTCACATGCATTTATAAATACATTTCAGGGTCTTGATGTTTGTCAATAATATGAAACATTTAATCCGGAAAGGACAAAACAAATGATAATAAATGAACCTTTTTCCTGGTTACAAAGAACCCTAAACGGTTCTTATTATTGAACCCTTAAAAAGGGATGTGTATAGAACCTTTAAAGGTTCTAGAACCTTTTCTTCTAAGAGTGTATTGTTGTGAGTTAAAATTTGAAAAGTAACTATCTGAAATGTGAATATTTATATAACTAAATAATTAAGTTTGCGTTCTCAGGCCACCAATATGCCGTTGATGTAAATGAACAGCCAGATCGCATTAAATCTTTTCTGTTTTCAGGTGAAAATGGAGTCATGTAAGCTGCCCCTAAAGTTAATAACTAATGATTTTTACAACAGAAATGAATCAATTAAAAACTTAGGCTATTTTATATATATATATATATATATATATATATATATATATACTCCATACGCTTTGTTTATTGCTGGCCCTTCTAAAGTTCTTACACCAGCCCAGCTGTTGGTCTTTTATGCCTGACTGGTAGCAGGAAAGCATCTATTAGTTTAGCGTCCAATTACAAAGACGCATACCCTGAACAAACATGCCATGTGTTTGTATGCTCTCCCCCATCCGTCCACAAACTGTGAACCATGGCCAACTGTTCTGGACACAAGAAATGAGCCTGGTGAAGCCTCTGTAGGTCTGAACCATGCGGTTGCATTTATAGGGCCAATTGGTATGAATTAAAGGAAAATCATTTTGTTCTGTTAGTACACTTATTTGCTGTTAAGAGACAATTTGACTAAAAAGACTACTGGAAAGGTGTTATACTTAATCTATTTGGGTCAGCAGATTTTAATAACAGTATCTTTTAAGGAGACAGAAATCCCCACTTCTGTGTCACTTTGCATACACCAAACATTCCAGTTTTATTACTTAGATTAAGTTCAACTTATTGTTTGCACATTATATAAGCATATTCATAATAACACTAGAGGGCATCCCAAAGGCTCCATGTCAAAGTTAATAGCCATGGGTCTAATGAGTACAAATGGTGTTCAATAAATAATGAATCTTTGTGCCTCAAAAGTTAATTCAGACCTTCCATGATGAGTCAGACTTTCCAGTGGTCGTCACCACGGCAACAGTTTGATGATCCCAGTAAGCATTGTGACCTCTGTCTCTCCTTGTGCATTGTAGGAAATAGAATATCAGCAGCTGTTGCGCAGTGGGTGATTTCTGCACTTCATCCAGCATGGCTGCCCAACATAACCACCATGATTAATAATGACACAGAGATCTGGAACCTATTGAGTGGACGGCACACTGCGCCAATGAAGCGAGGCGGATTTCCATCTGGATAGAGAAAAAGGTTAATGTTTTTAATCGTTCTAATCATGAGAAAGATATGTATGCTTCTTTTTTAATATGTGTTAAAGCCAGTGTAGCTTAAATCGACCTGATCAGTGGTGTGAGTTTACACAGTATCGTATTGCATTAAAATCTGAGGCATCTGCCCAGAATAACAGCTCCAAAAATACTTTTAAGTTAGATTTTAAAGGCTTAGATGTTCATACGTAATGGGCCATAAAAGCAGGTCAGAGTGATAATTGCAACCATAAGTTACTGTAAGGTTTTTATTTTTACTTGCTACTTTTTATTGACTGAATAAATAAAGGTTTCCAGATGCCTAAGTCTTCAATATGCTGCCCCCCCCCCCCTATTAAAACATCGCAGCATCTTATGCAAACAACACATATATATATATATATATATATATATAAAAAAACACAAAATAAATAATCCGTGCATTATTACAGACTGCAGGTTTTATTTATTATCAAATGCTTAGTATGAGTCAGATTTCATTCAGCTCAAGATCCAAATTCAGGTACAAATCCATATTCAAATCTATACACCCATATCCATACCCAAAATCAGATGCAAAAATATGTTCAGATCCATATTGAGATCCAACTTCAGGTTCAAATCCACATTTAAATCTAGACCCCGATTCAAAACTATGTTCAGACCCAGATTCAGATCCGAAACCAGATTCGAATCCACATTTAAATTTAGACCCAGATCCAAAACTATATTCATATCCAGATTCAAATCCACATTTTATTCTAGACTCGGATCAAAAAACATATTTAGATCCAGATTCGGATCCAAATTCATATTCAAATCCACATTTAAATTTATACCTGGATCCAAAACTACGTTCAGATCCAGATTCAGATCCGATTTCAGATTCAAATCCACATTTAAATCTGGACCCAGATCCAAAACTATATTCAGATCAAATTTCAGGTCAAGATTGGGATCCAGAGTCAGGTCCCAATAGAGATTCCATTAGGTCCAGATCATTTTATTACTTTTTTTAAAATTATTATTCAATTTATTAAATGAATTAAAAATTGTTCATTAATTAAATCAAATCTCATTCCAAAAATCCACATTTAAATCTAGACCCAGATTCAAAACTATATTGAGATCTACGTAGATTCAGATCCTAAATCACATCCCATTATATCCAGATTCAGTTATTGGAATTTAGATTCAATTGAAGTATATTCAAAGACTAGCATGAGTCAGATTCAGATTTGTCGATGTATATTCATGTTCACGGACATCTTACATACAGTAGCCAATACAATGATGGTCTTATACCCTTGAGACAGCCATTAGTCTCAAAGCTGTACAAGAAAACTCTATAACTCACAACAGCAGTAATAAAGTCTGTAACAGCAGTCAGTCCTCCCTCAACCTCATACACACACGTCTCTCTCCTCCTGCCTGACTCTACTTGAATCTGTGCAGCAATCTTGTCAACAGGACCACTGAGAAAATACTACAATTTAAGAAACATCTCAAACAAAAGCATCCTGTCCTGATAAACAGAAGCATCTTTTTGGAGATAAGATAATTTACTTTTATGTGCCTGTAAGTGTATTGTACAAAAAAAAATTGATCAAAAGAATCATGAACCAACGTTCAATTTCCGTTTCATGATATACCTCCAATATTACATGCACAGTCTGTCCACACAATATGGCCAGCACATTTAATTTTAAGATAATCCTCTTTCTGACACGACACTTGATTTAACCTTGCTTTGGCATTTTCTCATTTCCAGGAACATTGGTTTCCCACCTTGGATTACAGCGGCACTTCCTCTTGCATAGGCTATATATTAAACGTCTTTTCTTTTTTTGTTTTTTTGTTTAAATGGTTGAGGAGCCCCACCCTGCTGTTGCCACATTGTGTTTGATGGTTTGATAAGACAGTCATGAAAAAGCAAAGCTCAGGAATGTAGGCTGTCTGATGTTAGACCTCTGTTTGAAGTGTCACTATGACACAAAGATCAAGCCACAGTTAAGCTGAAAGGGTTTCATTTAGTCATAAATGCTGTATGGATTTATGGGAACCAAAACAATTTAGAGACAAGTTTTGACCAGATTTTAGTCAAAATAAAAGTCTTGAGCCAAGATCCTACAGATTTTTAATCAAAAAACTGATTTGATTAAACTAAATTTCTTTAAATAAAATAATTATTACATCACAGACATAAAGACTTGGAGGGCAGGCTTTTGTTGTTCTGTCAGTTTTGTCAAATGTCAGTTTCAAGAGTGAGGCCATTGTGTAAGGTGATTGACATGTGACAAAGGAATATGACACTCCTCCAGGTATTCTTTTAAAACACTGTGTATTTTTTTTTTTTACTAGAATTTTGTGTAAAACCCACAAATAAAGTAATAAACCCCAGTAAAATAATTTGTGTGATGAGGGAGTTTGGTATACCCTGCTCACAAGAGAACCTGTTCCTTGTTGATATTAAAAAGATGTCGTGTGTCCCATATTTAGAATAAGAACTTCGCGAATCGCTCTTTTGAGTCGGTTCTCTTCATTGAATCGGTCATTGTGGAAACTCACGCACTGAATCATTTGAGGGGATCCGATCGGGGTCTGTAAAAAATAGCTTTACTCAGATCACAGAAAACAAAAAGTTCACTGAGTGGATATTTAGATACATCCATTAACTAAACTTGCAGATGCCATCGTTTGCCAGCGATGTAGAAAGTCACCTGCGTGTGAGCCGATTGTGAACGACTCTGTACTGCAGGTGCGGACATTTTTAGACCAAAAGCAAATTGAAAACCCAATACTAGAATAAGAAAGACAACCATCTCGCATTTGGTGGCAGTGATGGAGACTGTCACTGTGATTCTGTATGCAATTGAACCGAACAGGGAGTTTGTGTGTGAGGTGTTCGAATCTCTCCTCCTCTCACACTTCCTCAAACAAGCTCACGCTCTCTCGCTCTGAGGTCGCAGTCCTACTGTCTGTGTATCGGCAATGCTCGTGTGTAGTGTGTGACTGTACGTTGAGGGGCTGAACTCAAAGCCCCCCCGTGGTCGTCCTGACTGAGAGCTAAGGGAGGCTGTCGATTTCCCCAAGAGACCCCATTGCAGGTGGTGTGTGAGCAGTGAGGGGAAAAGTTTATGACAGCTCTGCTGTTTTCGGTTCTCGGTTGCCCCATGGAGCTTTTTGATTTTACGGATGCAGCTACAGACTTTTTACCAGGCTGTCTGACTCAGTAATGCACTTGTATCGGACAGAGTCACGTTCGGGATTGCATATTGGGTTACAGTGAATCCACGTAACAGTTACTGGATTGGTTTTTGAAAAAATTCCACTTCATTTCTGTGGACGTTTTCTGGATAGCAGTTCTCAAGGTAAAAATAGTCTGTTTACAGTCATTTGGATGCTGCTAATGACAAGTTGGCTGTGTGAATGTGGTTGTTTTGCTGCCGTGAGACGCATAGCCTATATTGTTTTGCTAAGCTGTAACGTTATGTAGAGGTCATTCAGCACTAAAGTATGGATTGCAGCTATATTTATTTCTGTCATAGCCACAGAAACACAGAATGAACTATAATCAGTGTGTAATAGGCTAGGTGTTGCTCTTTATGGGTTGGTTTGTATGTCAGTCAGTGACAACAGCGTCTTGCTGTGTGACATCTTGTAGCCTATACTTTGTCTGTAACTAAACAAGTTTCAAAAAGTTAAAAATATTTTGTTATTTTAAAGTTATTTTTTTAAATATGACGTAAGAAATATTTTATTTTTAAGAAATGCTACATATCATTGGCTCGAATGACATGCTATTAATCTTAAATCTTGATATAAAAAAGTGCATGCATGTCATTTTGTCAACTTCCCATGTTAAACAAGCCTTAATAAGTTCCATATATCATTGTTTGACAAAGGTATGATTTGACAATTTTAGGAAGTGTTAAAATAGCTCAGATGTTCTTACCTGCTTACCTTGTGTTGGGCATCCATATGTTAGAGTTCTCAGTTTTACATTTTTTTGTCTAAAATTCTTAAGGAGAAATAAAAAAATAGACTAATGATGGTACAGTAACAGTAGAGGTAAAAAAAGTGTGAAAGCATTAGCAGGGTAATTTCAGCTTGGAAGATTTGAATGCAGACTTTGGCAAATCTATGCATATTGAGAAGATATTTTCTATAGAGGAGACACATGAGATTACTGGGGTGTTTTTCGCAGGAGAAAAACCAAGGGATTTAAAGGGTTAGTTCACCCAAAAATGTTAATTTTGTCATTAATTACTTACCCTCATGTCATGTCGTTCCAATCCTCGTTCATCTTCGGAACACAATTTGATGAAATCCGAAAGCTTTCTGACCCCCTATAGACTGCAACTAGGCTTCAAGGCCCAGAAAGGTAAAGACATTGTTGAAATAGTACATGTGACTAGTGGTTCGACCTTAATTTTGAAGCGACAATAATACTTTTTGTACAACACCCCCCCCCCCAAAAAAAAAAAACAAAACAAAACAAAAAAAAAAAAACATAACGACTTTATTGAACAATGACACAGAAGTGAAGAATTTTTTTTTTTTTTTTGCGCACAAAAAGGATTCTCGTCACTTCATAACCTTAAGGTTGGACCACTGGAGTCAAATGGACTATTTAAATGATGTATTTACTACCTTTCTGGGCCTTGGAAGTGTGATGACGTTGCAGGGAGGGTCAGAAACTCTCGGGTTTAGTTAAAAATGTCTTCATTTGTATTCTGAAGATGAACAAAGGTCTTGGAATAGAATGAGGGTGAGTAATTAATGACAGAATTTTCATTTTTGGGTGAACTAAGCTGTTAAGCTATTTGCTGCTCTTCATTTATTCTCATTGCTATCGACACCGATTGAGATTGTCTCTCGATTGCTCTCGATTGTCGTATTTATTTTTTATGAACAGAGAAGAATCTCATTTTGTGTACTAATAAATTCTGCTTGGAGTCAGTTTGAGGTTCATGTTGAGTTAGAGGAGGTGTGGAGGTGAGTGGCAGAGCGGGAGAGGTAGATGGAGATGCAGATAGAAACTAATGAAAGGAAGAGGCAGGAATGAACAACAAGCTGTCAGCTCTCTGACACTGTAGGAGATGATATCTGGAAGAGAAGGAAGCACACAGTTCAACAATAATTCAGAAAGAGAATGGGTCATGCTGATCAGATCTGTGTGCTTAATTATTTAATTTCGTTATGCAACTGAGATTTTAAAGACATCTCATTTGTGATTTTTCTTTTATGGGTGATATCATATACAAAACATACTGTACCGGAGGTCCTAACCCTCTTCCAATCTTCTAACCTTATTACGACACATTATGGTGATTTAACGCTGATGGAAGAACGTTATTTGCCAGTAAGGGGAGAGCGACATAACCGTAGCTATTTAGAGGAGTGATCTCCTTTCATTTCCCCTATCAAACCCTGCATGACCCAACGCTGTGATTGTGTTTGTGATGCGGGCTTGTCTGTCTCTGTCTCGTTCAGGCATTGCGTGCAGCTCGCTGTAAACCATCTCATCTGCTGTTTGGGAGCATTCAAAGTCCGAGAGGGAAATTCATTGCGTCACTTTTGCGTCACTATTTTAGCCTTTTCAGTCTTATTCACTATGTTATTTAAAAATGTTAGTGTAGATTTGCCAGCAATCCTGGCAGCAGTAATTCATCGATTAGTGATGAAATGATGGAGATTGGTGTTGTAGCACTATTATGTAGCACACATTTGCCACATTTGGATTGATTTACCCAAAAATTTGGATTTAAATTTGTCGGCCAATATATTGGTTATCGGCTTTCAAATATAAAGAATAAAAGAAAAACAAGAAAAGAATTATCTTCATAGCACAGCTGATTGGTTGCTGTTGCATCAATGCAGCCAATGAGCTTTCTGCTCAAACATTGGCTCCACGGCAGTGCCAGTAACTCCTAAGGCAGTTAAGGCAGTTCTGAAGGCAAAAGGGGGTCAAACACAGTATTAGTATGTTCCTGTGTTCCTAATAATCCTTTAGGTGAGTGTAGACTTTCAATTGGGGGATGGAGATTTCTTTAAGAATATCTACATTTGTGTTCTGAAGATAAACAAAGTCTTATAGGTTTGGAACATCATAATTGATGACAGAATTTTCTCATTCTGTTTAAGAGCCAATGCTGTGCAATTATTATTATTTTTTTTTGTAATTTCTTTATTGAATCAGATGCTAAAACAACACAGCTTGTGAATTTCTCCCAGAACAAGTTGAATGATATCTTTATATTTTAAAAGACTCTACAGAAGGGAACTGACTTGAATTGTGGTTTGCAAAGTTCTAGGTTTGGCAAAAGTTTCTCACCTGGTTGTGAAAGCAGTAAAGGTCTAGATACTAAGAATATGGTCTAACTTGTCTAAACCGTCTGAACCTCAAAAAAAAAAAAACATTGACACTCAGGCGGCTCATTGAACTGCCAAAATCAGAGCCAAATCCATCCCAATCTGAAGGTGGCTGCAATATCATCATCACAATCCTTAACAATAGGTTTTATTTTTAGAAAGTCTTTTTTCCCTTTTGTATGTACAAAAAAAAGCCAGAGTTTCTTCCGGGGCCAACACCCATCGACTTACCAACCACTTCTGCTAAAATTTCCCCAAATGACTCAGACAGTCATATGCTTAGATGTGTGGTTTTGCACAGATGTAAGAAGGATTCCTCAAGGGGAGTTTATTTTAATAACCATATGGCATTGTGCCATTTAGAACTTGACTTGTGGCAATGTGAAAAATAATTTATATATGACCTTATCAATTTTTAATTTCTCATTAAAGTTCACCAATCTTGAAAATTCTGCCATCATGTACTCGATGTAATGATTTAAACATTACTCCGTGGAACACAAAAATTATGCAGAACGACCATCAAGTTCCTAAATACTTTTGCCATTCAAAAGTTTGGGGTTGGTAGGATTTGTGATGTTTTCAAAAGAAGTCTCTTATGAACACAAGGTTATCTCCAATATACAATTAAAATGGTAAAATTGTGAAAAATAATTGTTAAAATAATACAACACCCCCCCCAATATATTTTTTTTAAATGTCATTTATTCCTGTGATAAACAAAGCTGATTTGCTTTCAGTATTTTTATCCAGTCTTCAGTATCACATGATGGTTCAGAAATCATTCTAATAATCAAATATTGTTTCTTAAGAAATATTTTTATTATCAGCCATGTTGAATATACGTGTTCAGCTTTTTTTTTTACTTTTTATTTTGAACTGATCATTTTTTACAGGATATTATGGTGAAAAGAAAGTTTACAGAACCACATTTATTTGGAATACTTATCTTTTGTAATAAATATAAAACGTGTTTACTGTCACTTTTGATACCTTGCTGAATAAAACCACTAATTTCTTTAAAAAAATAAAAATAAAATAAATCTAACTGATCTTGCACATTTGAATGGTACTCCTGACATATAAAAAAAAAATCATCATCTAAAATCTCTTGAAATTACTGTATTGAAACAATGTATGTCCAAATTAAAATGGAAACAGGAAGTGGAACCATACTTTTGCTGAATCTTCTAAAACGGGTGAAAGGAAGCAGCATGCCCTTATGACATCATACTCACTTGATTCTTATGTCACATGTGTCAGTCAAACAGCAGTGACAGTCGAACCCTGACCACACTGTCAGAAAGACGTATCTCACAGCACTCTGTGGTTTTGGCAAGTTCTCTCCATATCAACACACTTATCCATCAGTGCTAGAAACCCTCTAAAGTTGAGGATTCTTCAGCAGACACACATTCTTATATTCTGATTCTTATGTCAGTTAATATCAAAAGAAATTCTCTTTTAATAAATGCAATTGTTTTTTAATTAGTACTGAATTAAAATGCTTATTTCCACTGCAATGCATTCTGGGATTGGTTAATTCATAAAGGATATACATTAATGGAATTTCTTTCCTATTATTTACTAAAATCTTGTTACGCAACCTTACACGCAAGGTCATGACATGGCTAAAATGCACAATTCTTTCTCCTCTCTGCTTTCTGTGTGTCTTTTCAGACATCAATATCTCTAATGCTTTTGTGGTCTGGGTACAAGGGCTTTGTGTTTCACGGTCAGTTGGGTTGACTGTGTCCGGCAGCATTAGCTGTCACAGAAGTGACCAGCAGCTGTCAGACTGAAGCACAGACAGGCCGACAGACAGACAGATGGCTGGGATAAAGCCCACGACGTGCCTGTTTTAGACCACTCACTACTGGCTGATATAAAGAATGCATGACCACTCAAGGGATTTACTGCCCTGCCTTTGGGGCAACTGAAAATGCCAGATTAATGACCTCTTTACATCTTAACGCCCCTTTAATAAGCAATGTTT